TATCTTTCAAAATGGGGGGTTGAGGCGACATGTAATCTCTAATGAAATTACTTATTTATTTTTGGTTTACTACTTAGGTAAAAATAAAAATTATGTCATGTAATTAAACATAAAAATATAATGAACCAATCTATATTTTTTTTTACATGGGAGAAATAAAGCATATTAAATGATTATCAACTTTTAATTTGTAAGTAAGGACAATATCTTTGCAATATTAACCCATAATTGCGGTTCAAGATTTACCCAGGTAATTTTTGCTTTATTTTTTCCCCTGGAAGTTCTAGAAGGATTTTCTCCATAAGTTTTGAGCTTATAGTTTAAAAAAAGAAAGCCAGAATGAGGACAGGTTCCCTCTCCTGCCTCCTCCACTCCTAAACAGAGCCATTTACATAGCCCATTGAACACTGTTTAGTAAACAAGCAGTGTACAGGTCCAAAGTGGCTTCTATCTTCCAGTCCTGCAGTCCTTTTAAAAGCAAGGCAGGGGTTCTGTTTTTAGTACACACTTTGGTTCAGTGTTAATCCTGTTTTATGTTGTTCACACCTGCTGCTGACTAGCAGCCTGCTGATGGGTTGGGGCTCATGCTGCTAGGAGAAATCCCACTAACTGAGAAGCCGGACAAAAGCTACTGTACAGAGCTGGAAACAAAGGCTGATCTGGATCCAGGAGAAGCAGACCCCACAAAAATATCACCTCTCTTTTAACAAATAAGGCTTTGATGTCCCAAGTTAGCCACCTACCAAAAAAAAAAAAAAATTCAACCAATTGCTGTTTTTTGACAGAAAGACTAAACCCCATTGGGCTATTAATATTCCTGAGCTTTTTATGTCTTTTGGTAAAAGTGATGCAAATACAGCTTAGAAATGTCACTCTGATTAGGTATAATGTATGAGCTACTGCTTTGTGTCCTTACCAAAAGAATCTGTATTTAAACATAATTAATTTAAAATACTCTATGGCTAACCTCTTTATTCATGGATTTTTATAATCAAAAGGAACAGAGAATATACATAGTCTTCCATCAGTGGCCACAGTGTGGCCAGGACAGTGACATGTATGCTAAGATTGCTCTCCTCCCAGTGCCCCCTCGCCCCCTGCACCACATGTGCCTAATAGCAAACATCAAAAGGAATGATTTCTTTTTTGATCTTAGTACCAGCGATAAATCAAATTCAGTGCCACAGACAGGGAGGGGAAAGCACTACTAAAGGAAAACTCCAAGTCTGACAGTGGGACCAGTCAGAGGCATCCGCTCAATCAAGTTCTAGGAACTGATGCCCACCCTCCTCTCCAAAACGAGATGTAAGCTGTCGTGGGCTTACCCAGAGTGACAAGAACTTACCCAGTCCTGACGTGACCCCAAGTCAAGATGCACTCCGTGCTGACATTTCCAGCAATGCCACCAGAGCCCCTCCCTCCAACTTATAGACAGAGCCAATTTCTTTCCTAACTGGGAGCCAGCTTCTGCCTGCAGGTGGGCACTGAAAGCTCCTATTGGCCCGAACAGGCAGCTCCGATTAAGGAGCTTCACATCTGGGGGGTCAAATGGTGGCTCTGGGATCATTTTATTACATCTCTTGAAGCCCCTTTCCTGACTGCAATGGTCAATAAAGCATGGACAGCTCCAGTGCCAACTCGGGGAACTCTGCATCTGCCTACTCCACAGTGGTGCACACGTTTCAAGGAGTACAGTTTTAATACTTCTCTGGGGGAAGCAATGAAAAGCGCTAACTAGCATATTAAGGTTCTCGTAACAAATGAATGTGAAGATGAAATATTTGAGGTGTTGGCATCTCTCCCCAATTTCCTTTGAAACTTTACCCTCTGCAATGTGCTCTTTGGGGGGGGGGGGGGTTGTCAGTACTATTTCCTGACACAATGAGGCAGCTGTCTTGTTTGTGGCCAGCTCTTCTTCAGAAGATGAAAAAGCATACACAGATTCTCAGAAGCAGTTTAGTTACCACAGGACGAATACTAGATGAATGTACAGTGTTTTCAGTGTGTGCAAGACACTCTACTTGGCAACTCTCTACTGGTGTTAAACAAAAAGACACAGTTGCTAGAAATAAATATTACAATATATTTGCAATAATTATAGATAGAATTCAGGTGTCTCCCATAATCTGATATAACCCATCATAAAATAAAAACAACTTATTTCCCACTTTATTATGAAATACGAAGAGTACAGAAATAAATTCAATTATTGGGTTAAATCCTATGAAATTGCTGATATTTGACTGCTTTTTTTGACCTACAAAAATGGCAACTTCATCTGATTCAACCTCATATAATTAGAATGCCATTACCTTCCTTCCATGCCAAGAGGAAAAAAATAAAGCCCAATATTTTGACAGTTAATTTTATGATCCTAAACTTAACTTTTCTATTCATAATACCTCTAGTTTGGGGGAGGATTCTCTTTTAAATATTAGTATCAAAATGAGAGAACTTATCTACATATATTTTAAGACTTGAACTTGAGCTGGGCGTGCAGTTCAGTGATAGAGCATTCACATAGCAGATGAGGCCACAGGTGAGAGCCACAACCCTCCCAATCCCACCTCCACCAAAAAAAAAAAAAAAAAAAAAAAAAAAGAGAAGTTTAACCTAGTAAGGCCTTGAACACACAGGCCTTACTAGACAAAATCTCATTGCAACCAGATTTTTTTTTTTAAGTAAGAACATTCACATAGTCCGTGGAGTAATTAAAACACTGTGCACCTTTTGGGAAAGCAACTCGGCAATACCATATAACATAAGAGCAAAGGTTTCATTCCAAGTGCTAAGACTACATAAGGATGGAATATGATAGAAAATCTTTTCTTTGAGGGCCTGGCTGGACTGGAAATATGGATGATTTTTTTTTTCCTAATGACTTTGTAAGTTTGCTCAGGACAGAAAGATTTCAATGTATCAGATGCTTTCAGATCAAATTATATTTAGCGTTTTCCATGTAGTACTGGTGACACGGGGAACACCCTCAGATAAGAAAGAAAAAAAAAAATGAGCAGTCTTGATCAAGCTACTCCACCTGCTGCTGCCTCCCAGCGCTGCTCCTAAGCATGCCCACTTCAGAGGAAAAGTTAAGACCACCTTATTTTGATTATAGTGCTTTCCTGAGGCAGGAATTTTTATTTCAGTTTGAATCTTAAACCATTCCATTTCCAGGGATGCATTTTTATGTTTACAATTGACATCTTCATAAAAGAATGAAACCTTTGAGCGACAGCTCAAAAGCATGAAGGTTGCCTGCAGTAAGTACTTAAATTATTTTACACCTAAATGGAGCCCAGTTGTTTTTAGTTAAAATTTAATAAACCTTAAACTGGTGACCTTTTTTTTTTTTCCACAGAAGGCCCCGAGTTGCAAAAACGAACTTTCCAATGAAATATATTTTAAGGAACTCGTGCTGAACAAAGGGCTATTTAAAGCTGAACGCTTTGTCAATTTATCAGCTTGTGAACATTCTGTTCCCGAATTCCCCACTGCTCCTGAATGTATAGAACGGTGGTGCCTCGCTTAATCGAATACTATTGATTCGAGTGTGTCACAGTGATCTCATTGAGAGTAATCAATAGTAATCCAAAATCAATCAATCTGCTCTTGCACTATCATTTATCAAATCTGAATATGCCAAATTATTTGTAGGCGTCAAATTACAAAGAGGAGAAAATGGTAGAACTGGGAAAGTTAATGGTTTATATTGAAAAGCAAAACCAATCTTTCTCTCTCTTTAAGGGGAGACATCTTAAAATGAACTGCTACTTGGAAAAATACATTTATCTTCTAGTTAAGGCATTCTAAATTTATAATTACTCTCATTCCACTCCTGAAAAAAAAAAAAAAGATTTCTTTTACAGTTTGCCAGTTCAGCACAACTGTTCAAAACTGAGTGATATGCCCAAACTTCCCATAGCACACCAGCATTTTATAAGTCTGATAAGCTAAGTTTCAAATGCCTGTCACCCATCTGCTGGAAAAACAAGGAGACTCGACTGACATAGGACATAACTGCATCTTCTAACATCAGAAATGATGCTTAATAGAACTGCAGTGGAAAAGCAAATGCTTAATTTCTCCAGAGAATGTCCGACATAGATGTACCTGCTTATCAAAGATGCTGCTGTTGATGCTGAAAGTTCCTTTATCAACACATTCACCTGTAATTTAGTCAAGGTAAAAAAAAAAAAAAAATCCTTCTATTCATTACAGCACATTTTAAAGCACCCCTCCTATTTAACTTGCATGAAAATAGGCCCAGAGTGTCTAAAACATTTACTTTTGCTAATGTAAAAGTGTTGGCATTTTACTTCATTCCTGATAAGCTGGTGCCAGTAGAAGTGATTATTCTTTTCTTATTCAAGGCCTATCAGCATTTCGAAAAGCTCTCTCAATCTTATCAGGTGTATGAACAGCACTGTTACTGAAAACAGTTTGTACTGCTCCTCTCTTTCTGCCAAGCTATCTGATAAACCCCCAACTAACTAACTGTATTTACACACAATCAAACATAAGTTGTATCTTCTATGCACTCTTGCCAGGTTCCAGTTTGCCATAGGTTTTTCTGCTGTGACATTAACTTAACAAAAATGTCAGCTGCGAGTATCCCAAACTGACAACAATCAAGAAAACACTATAAAAGCACTCAACTAGAATGCACAACAAACAGAAACAAAAGAAAAACAAATATTAAAAGTTGAAGGCAATCTCTTTGGAATTCACAGGAAAAATAACATGTACTGTGTGTGCAAATATGGCTGAATATCATGCACTTACCTTTTTCCCAAGTAAATGATCCTTTAGCACAACAGATTAATAGAAACAGAAATTAAAAAAAAAGAAAAAATCGTGGGATTGAGGAGGGGAAGGTGTACAGGGAACTGTTTTAGAACTGAGCAGGCAATTCCCCCACATTTCGGATAACCTCAATGTGAACGCACAGAGGTTCTACAATGCAAGCAAAGTAAGACAATAGACAATATCACCGAACTTACCCCATAAACTGAAGACAAGATAGAAAGCAAGGCTATCACATATGGTGACCACATTCTCAGGATAGATTTTCCAATCATTAAAACCCTCATAAATGCTCTAGACATTAAAGTTTTGTTCACTATAAGGAAATAAAGAAATAAAAAAATACAATTTGAGTTTTTAACCTCATTATTTTTCTTATTCTTCAGACTTAACCAACTGAATAGTTTAACATAAAAGTATAAAAAAAAAAAGACCATCATCCAGATTAACATAGATATCTGTTCTCCATTTCTATCTTATTAAAAAATGCTCAAACCAGTTGGTGGTCCCTAGGAATGGGGAGACACAACCTCTTCTAGGGGTAGTACTTTGGAGCATGAAAAACAACAATGACATTTCTAGAACATGGGAGGCATCTGAAATTTACGTGGACAACTGGGTATCAACAAATTCCTGACCCTAAGGAAAGGATTCTCTGCTTGAGCTTGTGCACATAAATTGTCCATTTGTTCCTCACCTCCCTCTGCTGAATAGCTAGGAGAGAACAGAGAAAGGCGGCCACATGCTCCCACCTGAGCCCAACTCCTGATGCTGTCTAGACTCCAAGAACAGAGGAGCCTTCCTTTAGATGTGTAGAGCAATAAGATGAATTAGCCAAGTGTGTAGTTCAGTACAATTCAGCTGACGGCTGCTTTCCCATCTGTGACACTATGGTGCCATGACTGATGAGGCAGGTCTCATTCAAGTCTATGGATAAAAGGGATGCTTCTGTCATTTCACAGGACCCAGCACCAACTGTATACAGTCACTTTCTCACAGGAAACAGACATGGTGGTTCTCATCAACCATGTACACCTTTCTCTTTTTCTGATCATCAACATTCAGTTACAATAGTCCTCCAAATATCTGATCTGGATATTGTTTAATAGACTAATGACTGTAAAAAAAAAATTATCAGAACGTTCTTTCACTTGTGGAAAAAAGAATACAATTTAACATGACCACCTAACTTTTTTGGAGAAGTGAAAATACTACAATAAGGTGGAATTATGGAGGGCAAGGGGCAATAGACTGAACAACCTCACATTTGATTTTTTTTTCCTCTTAAAATTTAAGTACCCCAGCCTCTGTAATTGTCTACATGATCTACTAGTTTTGCTAACTCTGGACAAAATTTTGGCATATATGAGTAGGCTGCTTTAATAATTTTTTTCAAAGCAAAGTAAATTCTTATAAATATTGTCACATATTAGCTACCTTGAAAAGTATACCTTTTAGATGCTTCAGTACTCATTGTGAGTATTAAAAGGAAAGAGAATATATTTAACAAGCCCTTTGTTTAAATTCTCAAAAGCCATTAAAAATGAGTAAAATTTTTCCAGAGTAGATTAAAAAGGAATTATCCTTTGCCAAGATAAAATTCTGATCAGGAAGGGAAAAAAATAGTGTATTTCTGCCTATTTTTTGTGCAGAAATTCTTGCTCTATTCTTGATTTGATTTTTTAAATTTATCTCTGTCTTGGGGGTGGGGTAATTAAATAAGCCACACTAAAAAAAAAAAAAAAAATTGTTTCTTCCCCAGAAAATGTGTGTAAAGTGCTACACAAAGCAAGCTTTCCTTTCAAAGTGAATCCGCACCCTCCCAGATTCTCCACTTCTTTAAGTTTTTATTTGTTTCACAAATAAGAGCAACTGAAGTTTACCAAGTCAGAGCCTTTGTTTTAACATCCTATTTTACTTCCAGGGTGGTAGAAAGATTTGAATGAGCTTCAGTTATACAAAACTCATTATTCCCTATGCTCTCTGTATTCCTACAGTTAGTTTTTAAAGACAAGTAAGCAAGCAAGCTGGTTTTCATTACACTCCTACCAGCCATCAATCTCTGATATAATGTGAGGATTTATTGGTAGCTTGCCTTTTATTTAGTACCATCTTTACCAACTGTTTGCGGAGAAGGTGTATGATGAAGCAAAGTTAAATTGACATGTCTGTGATATGCCTGACAGTCCTCAGTATGCCCAATATTAATTTGTTTTCTTTGGCTAGGTAAGTGCTGCCAAAGCATATTACACATAATCTGTACTTCCAATCAAAATGATGAAAGGTATATAAGTAATTTTGTTTCACTCAAAGCAATATGAGAAGGCACACAGGACTGTATGTTACAAAAACAGCTTTTTATAATTAAAATAGAAATTCAGTTTTCTTTTTTTTAAGAATGCAATCTAAACTTAAGTAGATGCCCCATGAGTTTGAACACTATACTAAGTAGTTATGAAATTCTGAATGCCAAAAGTGGGTATTTTCAATTACTATATTGTGTGAAAGAATTGCATATAACCATAAGTTGTATTTCTAATGGTAGTGTTGTGTTACATATCTACAGGCAGACGCACATATGCACAATTAATGAACTTTAATTGAGCAGTGATAAACCAAATTTTTAAAAACTGTACCTTTCTTTTTATTGACTTGCTTTAGTAGGTTACCTTTCAAATATATGTGCCTCACCATAAATTTAAATGGCACATTTCATTTGAAGAAATCAAAACATAAAAAGCAAGTTTCCTCCAAACATTTAAAAATATTTTTCAAAAATTATGGGCAGGATACATGTATCTAAAGGTCTAAACCCTCTCAATTCAATGGTTTTAGATACTTCATTATAAAAAAAAAAATACTTAGAAATATTGTTCATATTTGAGAAAAAGAAACATCTGTACTTTTGGAAAGAAAAAGCAGGGAGGAAAGATGTGTTTACTAAAACTGAATGGAAATTATTTTTATTAGCTGAGGTTTCCTAGACCTTAGAAATTATAAATCTAATAGGAACTTCAAACAAGAATAAAAGGCCAGGTAAATCCTTCAAAAGACAGAAGGCTGTCTCTTACCACCTTCAGATAATAGGGGAGCTAACTTTGATCTGATGGGTGGTACAAAGAAGCAGTTAGCACTTTTTTAAAAACACAATAGCAGTAAATTTGCTAAAGTGTTATGCAAACAAAGGTAGGAAATGAATCTAGGAATTTAAACAAAAATATAAAATGGGACAAAAATAAAAGAATAGAGCAATTCTATAAGTGTTTTTTCCCAACAATCAGATTTACCAAAGTAAAATCAGAGACCTCTAAACTTACCTCTTAGAATCAAATTAAATCATTGTGAACTCTATGATGTATTTTATATAAACGTAATACTTATTAATTTTACATATTTGCTTTTAGCAAAAGAAAATAAGCAAATGACATATTTATTTAGTGTAGGCAAATTAAATTCACATTTTGCATTTTTGAAAGCTCCTATGCTTTGCATTAAGATATATTTGTCAGGCTCAATTGTACAGGGAAAGATGTAGCCAGAAGCTAGTTCAAATTTTTTTCTTGGATATGGGCCCAACCCATTAAATGATAAATTTAATATCAGTAGTTTATTTCCTACTTTACAGTTTATTTATGGTTATTATATAATCAATACATGAATGAAAATAATTAAAATTATTTTAAGTCAGAAACAAATTTACTTACTAGGTTACCAGTTACCTGTCTAATATACAGTAGTTAAATCAATTCAGTTTTAAATCAGACTTGGTAAATACCTGAAATACTAATTCCAGGTTACAATTATGCCTGGCAAATGTAACTGACCACAGATTAGTATTTTGAGATCTACTTTATTATACAAATGTACATGGACAATCTTAACAGCACACCTATATGCTACAAACATCCCTTTCCCCATATATATGCATATTTCACACGCATGTTAGACATGCACATGAACACACTCGTATGTGTATCCTATCTACTGCTTTGGATTTTAAAGTGCCATATGTGTATTTATTTTAATAATCATGGTATAGATGATTTATATCCAGATTTACATGGCTCTGGAAATAATAATCAATGGCAAAACATACAAAATGCAATAAGAATGTCAAGCCGCAGAGATGCTTGGTGTCATCCCTGCACTATCAAATACACACATAAGTATGATTGGAGAAAGAGAGGCTAAATATTTCACTGTCAGAGAATGTAGAGAACTGCAATTCATTTCTATCTCATGTGCTTTAGGACAATGACAATTTAATACAATGCCAGTGGATGTAAAAGAGATAAAAACAGAACAAACTGGACCAATGTAATCAAAGATTTTCTCCAGAGAGCTGCCAAGGGCCAGAGCTCATATGCACTTATAACAGATCAACATTGCATTGTTTCTCTTGCCCATGAATTTGCGATGAAGCAAAATTCAGAGCAAGGCTTATCTGCTGCATTGACTTTAAAGTTCGATCATGATACATTAAATGCTTTCCTCTTCTTTCTAAATGCCAGATAGCTGGTTCTAAAGTTTATGTGATATTAATTGGTTTCATAAAAATCATTGCTATTAATTGCCACTTGTATGAAAGTATCAATCATAAGCATGTATTTTAATATCTCGTATAAAATAATAAAAAGAAAAACCTTCAGTGCTGAGCGTTACTTTACAAGTAAAACAAAGAAACATTTTGTTTAGTCACTAGCCGAAAACAAATGTTGAGGAATTTTTCACAAGTGATACAGACTTGAGATTGGGCATTATGCCTACCTTCCAAAAGAACCGGCTTCTTCTTTGTCTGTAATTCTGGCAGGAGTGAGGTATTGTGAAAGTATTGTTAAATAGAATCATAGAGAAGTTAGCTGCCCTCTTTGATGAATAGCACCAGGTATCTAAAATTAATTGCAAAAGTATGGCCCAGCTAATGAGATGGTCCTTATCTTTTCTCAGCACAGGAAGCACAAGTATTTTTCTGCTGGCTCAATATTTTACAAAAATGCCTAAAGTGTTATTAACTAAATAAAAGCCTGATGAAAAGACCTCAAAGATACAAATTGTCATAAATTCTGAGATCTGGAAAGGGTAGAGTTAAAACTGATTTCCTACATTATTTCCTTTTTAAGCTTGAATTTCTAGTCTTGTCTTTTTTTACTTTGAAAAGAACAACAACAAAAAAAAATCTTTCCTTCTATTAGCATTATTAAGAGCTGAATCACAATTTCATTCTTCATGATGTGGTCAGTATATATATCACAAGTCAGATTAAACCAAAGAAACATATCAAAGGCCGTCAATTTAGAATATATAAAAAAAGAACAATGATATCTTATTGGGGGAAAAACACTAGAAAAATGATCATCCATGCAAGAGAATTAATGGATATCCACAAGGGCTTTGCTAATAACATGGGTTAATTACCGCTGCAACACACTAGGCTCAGTAAATAAAGCAGCAGTGCCATAAACACATTAAGATGAGAAACCATCACTATAAGAAGAACCAGCCAACACCATCACCCTTGCCTCTGCCCAGGAAATGGAAAGCTGTCTCCCTGTAAAAGGAGGATTTTTAAACTCACCACCAAATGTGTATAAGGTAATACACAAATACCCTAACACAAAGGGCTAGTAAAACATAGGTGCCCATCACTAACTCACCACTCCCATGTAACATTTATTCCATTAACTCAAGAACACTTTTTATCCCCCTTACTTCAAGGAGAAAAATCGTATGTTACATAACAAACATCGTCTGGTTCTTTCAACTATATATAGTTTGGGACATGTATTATGGATATTTAATTCTTAGAAAAAATAGAATTGCTCTGTTCAATTTACTGATGTAAAGATTTCAAGATTCTACAGCTCCAGAATGCTCACCCCTAATTGCTGCTGGTTGTCACTTCTAGTAATGTACAGAGAAATTGTCTGAAAACACCACCTACCTTTTAAGGCTGCAGGTGTTTTTAACAGATAATATAGAGAGGAAACAGGAAGAAAAGCAATAGGAACTCCAAGTCTGGAGTTGAAGTATTCTTTCTTAGAAAAATAAACCTGAAGTATCTGTTCATAGTTCTCAAATAATATCAAATCTAAAGTGACTTGGGCAGACTCCTATCTTTCGTTCAAAGATAGTGTCCAATCTGACTTAAGCTTTCTCTTGTTGTTGTTACTATATAGATTTTTTCCTTCCTGTCTATTTTTATCCTGTGTATTTTGACATTATAGTATCACTTTAGAATAGCTGCATTTCAGTCAAGTTACCTTTTAATAACAAGAGTTAGAGCAGAAGGGGGAAAAATCAAAACCCTGAAACAGAAAGAGTGAATCATATAAAATAAAACTTGCGTTGCCCCGAGCAGGAATCTTAAAACACGCAACTGTTAAATGTTCAATGTCTGGATTTCAATGATCAGGCTGAAATTTACTAAACTGCTCCCTCTTTGCCTTGTCTGTTTTGGAGGGTTTCAATTGCCTTTCCTTCTTCCAACAGCTGTGACAACTGTTAAAACAGTCAGTAAAATTAAGTCCGCTCTATAATCCTGTAGTCAATGTTACATTTTAATCAGAGGTTGAAAGGGATTCATGTGATGAGCACACTCATTTAGAATGATTAGACTGACACATATGTCAGAATGAGCAGATATATTATTTTCATCTATTTATGCTATCAGCTATTACTGCTATTAAATGTGAAACAAGCTTTCAAATGTTATGTTCTTTAATGTGCTGGCACATGTCCTAAAATTAAAAAAAAAAAAAATAGTTAGAGGCTAACATTCTAAGCTCTTTAAATGGTGGTCAATAAATTGTATGAATCTTTTTAACAGCCTCCAAACCAGAAACTGTCCAATATTCAATATTTTCCTCTCAAACTGCATAACTCTGGTTTCATTTCTATGTATACACACACGTGATGGGGTTTAACCCAGTACAATTACTATGAATATTAATAGCATGTATAAATTCTGTGGTTTATTAATTGAGACAGAGAGGCAGATGCGTGGCTTAGCATTGGATCTTTCTGTCTGTCCAGTGAACCACGTAACCATCAGAACTGCATCCAGACAATAAATCTGTATTTTTAAAAGATGACTTTTAATTGAACCAAAAAGAAAGCTAGTTTGAATCTTGCGCCAAAGCCAAAAGGACATGTGCCCTGATTTCATTTAAATGCATCTGCTTTAAGAGGCTTATCTAAACTAATTATTCAAATTAGCTATAAGAAGTTAAATTCAAGGAAACTACTCTTAAAACAAGGCTCTGGGAGGTTTTGAAAGTTGATTTTGTTTATTTATTTAGGAAAAAAAAGTTCAGACCCTGGGTGAGCTTTAGTAAGGCATTCTTTTGACATGAAGACATTTCAAATTCTGGGATCCTACAGTCCCAGGTGCACTAACCTTCGGGTTACAGTTGAGTGGGCAGTCCTACCTTTGTTTATCTTTCATTTTTATTTTCATGCATTTTAAGGTTGCTTCTTTCCTTGAGTGCTTTCAAACTGATGCAACGCAGGCTTACAGTATTTCAGTTCTTCCTAAATTCATCTCTGGGCTAATATCTCCTGTATGAGTGTGCATGTGAGTATGTGTGAGAGTGTGCGTGTGTGTGAGCGCATATATATGTGCATGCTCACACACACACACACACACACGCACTCTTACACTCAAACATCCAAGAGCAGTCACTGACACTGCCAGTCACTTTTCATCTCTTACTTAATTACAAAGCAATGCAATATGCAGTCACTAAGGACAGCTAGTGGACATCTACCTATAATGCACTACCTCATCTTCCAGAGTTTTATATTTTCTTCACAATCTATAGAGAGAAATGTTTGCCAAGAGCACTCTTTTCAGAATTATAACCGTTGGTATTACTGTAATGTGAAAGCAAAGCAATATAACTGACTCAACAGAAAGAGAGATAAACCAGTGACAGCTCCCGTGATACACTAATATTTTATCTTAACAGTGAGTTGAAATTAAGTTTATGACCTACTCATTTACACAAGAATGCCTAATTTACTTCCCTTACCCCCATTCACTCCCCCCCATCTTTAATAATCTAAATATACATTTCTAGTGTATAAAGATATTCATAAATACGAATTAACTGCATATAAGAATGAAAGTACTTTTCTCTGTTTTCTGGACACAATATATGGAACATATCCACAATCTGAGCATTGTCTATTTAAGGGGAAAATTTAAAAGTCACCACTGTTTCTTCTTTAGTTTTTTTTCTCCCTTAAATATTTATAATGTGTGAAAATCTCATGTTACTTAATGGACTGATTTGTCAGTTAAGTGCTGACTTAACACTAACCATGCAAATAACATTATTCTAGCTCTGAATTGCATAGGGCTAGTTTTTAAATTGTTCTCTGAAGGAGAATTAGTAAATGTGCAATTTTGCCTCTAACTCTGCGCGGTAAGAAATGACAGGGAGCTGAAAATATCTGTCAAACTGCAAATACATAAGAGGCACTCAATAGTATAAATCATTTTGAATATTGTATTTTAAAACATCTTTCCTTGGGAAAATGGGTCCTAGTAAAAGATGCATTTTAACAGTTCACTAAGCATTTGTGCCAAGTGCCTATTCTTAGCACCTGAATAAGAAGTGACTGTCACACAGCTGTTTTACTGACAGTCACTGAGCTTTGCCTCAAAGGTAACATTGTAGTCAGAGAACAATTCTCGACTTACTGAATTAGGAGATCACCCTCGACACAAAAGGCATAAGACAGACACAAACAAGCACTCGTGTGCACACAAAATACCCAGGGCATTACCTGAATCAGTGTGCAAAGATACATTCCGTTCACCCCACACGCACTCACCCCCACGCTTGAGTTCGAAAAGGAAAGAAAAAGGTACCTACTCTTCTTCGTAGTGCAGGGAAAAAGATTCAGGAAGGCAAAGTTCTACCGAATCCATGTGCGACCGGCAACCATTATTTGTGCACCCCAGCTATAAATCAAAGTTTCCTTGACAGAGCACAGTGCAATTAACACAAATGTTCTCCTGGTGACAAGCCTATGGGCACAGCCAGTTGGGACCAAAGCTCTCACACTCTCCTAATCAAGGACTTAAAGCCCCGATTGGAGCTTATTAATATGAAGTAGGGCTTTACATATGCAGTCCCACCGGCCCAGGCGCGCAGCCGATTGGGGGGCCTCTGCCCAATCAGGAGGGAGGCGACGGGAGGCTGCACGAGCAAGCGGAGCCAGGCAGGTAGGCTGGGTGCAGAGAAGGAACTGAAGGGGGTGAGAACTGAGAGTGGGCAGAGGAAAAGCAAGCCAGGACCAGAGCGAGTGAGAAGCTCCCAGTAGATACCCTGGGCTTTTTTTTTTTTTTTTTTTTTAACCCTCTTTTATTCCCCCGCCCCCCTTTTCTGGGAAGCTACAAAAGAAACATAACTAACTTAACTCTCTAAGCACTGGAGGGATTTGTCTTTGGTTTTCTAATCTAAGATCTATTTCGCTTTGAAAAGAAGAACTCACGCAGACTCTCTCAGTTAATATGGGCAAGGATTCTGCGGAAGGTAGAGAATTAAGTTTGTCCTGCGGTTGGTTGTTTGTGTTATTAGTCCACCGGGGGCGGCGGCTTCTATAGTGTTGTACTTTCTCGGTTTCTTCCTAATCGTGTCTTTTCCTGCTGTCCTGGTATATAATGGGTATTTAATTTTTTTTTAAAAAAAGACATTCTTCTAAATCATTGCAGCTTGTGAACTGGGATCCTCGTCTCTAAGGTGAAATGCAGTTGTACACAACTATAGAATAGGAAATAGCTGGTAACAGTACCATTTAAGAGAATGCTATGTAAATTACGTTAACATTTCTGTACCTGCTCCAGGGTACTCTATATATAGATATACAATGCACAGTCTTTCAAAACAAAGGTAAACAATTGTGGGACAAATTGGCCCCTTTCAGTTTCCAGCAGGAGTCTGGGGTCTGGAGGGTCTTTAGTGTGCTAAATGTATCTCAATGTATTTTGACAAAATAAAGACTGCAGTTTTTGTAGGAAAAGCTTTGCTATACACTGCATGAAAAGTGTCCTTAATTGCCTACTTATTTCAATATAAGCTTCCTAACAGGGAGACATATATCCATATATATGATTTTATCTAAAACATTAACCTTTCAAATAAAACACAATGTACTAATTTACGTATTTGTTTCTATACATAATATATACTACATGCTTTAAAAAAAAATCAACCCACATTTTATAAGACATCACACAGCCTAGTCACTATAAGAAGAACAAGTGTCCAACAGATAATAATTTACCAAACTCTGAATTCTCAGTCAAAAGTGTTGGGGGAAAAAAAAAAAAAAAACACCAAGAGAATGTAAGAGGGAAACAAGGTTTTTCCTCTTAAAATCGTGTAGAGTGTGTTTTTAATTTCCATATAACTGAGAGCAGGCTTAGGTTCTATTTTAAACTACAGGATTTTTTATACTAGCAAATGCACATTGGAATAGATACCAGCTATTTATGGCAAAGAGATAACTGCTACCTTATAGAGAGTGGAAGACCCACAATTTTAATATAATTCAGCTCCCCTGCTTACCAACCTTTTGCATCTTAAGTCTTACATGATAGAAATAGTATAATCTTTGAGATCAAAATAAATCAGTTCAGATATTCCGCATGTGTTAAATTCACTAAATCAGAACTCAGCTCTCTCTCAACCCTCTCAAATTTTCTAGGCCTTTAAAAAACAAAACACTAAAATAGAACAGCCACATTAAAATTCAGAATAAAAAATGACAGACATGATTTGGTCCCCCCGCAGAAAAAAGCAATTTCCCTGCCATGTATTTAGCTATATCTAAGATATGGGCCTGATTCCTTTATTTGTGGTCTAAATGCAGGCAAGTTTCTAGATCAGAACTCACATAGCAAAAAAAAAAAAAAAAAACTGTGCTTGAGAATACTGTATAAAAGCAGGTAGTAAAAGCTTAATTACCAGTGGCATTATGCTGTCTATATTGTTAAATGTGAACTCTGCAATTAAGATGTAAATTTGGTTGTGAGCAGTGAATTAAAAGAGCTTTGAGATGTAGAAGAAAATCCAAGCATTCTGTAGACACCCAGGGAAAAAAAAAGATTTGTCTATTCAATCTAAAATGAGACATGTAATCAGTTTACAATTAAAAAATAAATAAAAAAGGCATTTTGCAAAAGAAACATGATTTTTTTTTTCTAAAATACAATCAAAGAAATATAGAAGCTAATACTGCATTAAAAGGACAGAAAAAAATCTTTGGTTCATATGATTACTATCTTGATTTCTGAATAAACTAAAATCCTCAAGGTAATTAGAAGATCCAATTGTACACATTTTTAAAAGATATACCCCCAAACATTTAATCATTATTTTTATCTAGGAATATTTCTTTAAAAAATAAAAATTATTTAAAGTACTCAACACATATAATGTACTCAATAAACACTAAGATTTTGCACTTGTGTGGCATTTTATATTTAGCTTCTTTGCATTATCATGCTGTAGCAGAACCTGTTTATTAGTCCTTTGAAATGGTTTTTTTAAAGACAAGATTTGTAGGCAATTATTTACTGATGCATCTTAAGTCACCACATTGTCTAAGAGTAATCTTTTATTTTCCAGAATTTTCTTATTTTCCTTTGGGTACTTATTTGCCCTGATTAAGAGCCATTTGACTTATCTGGTGTGTATTATTAAAAAATATTTAGACTCATGTTCACATGTCTGTCTGTTTTCTGTGTCCACAGACATACATGCACAGAGTCATCCCCCTGATCTCTCACTAACCATATTTCATCCTTGCAAGGTACAGTGTTCAATGAGCTGGCTGCTTTGTGAATGACCAGAGGTGCACTAGGTGTATAGGGATGAGTCTGTTCCCCTTAGGAGCTAAGGGTCGCTTGCATAAGTCAAGGACCTAAGATCCACTTACTGTCTTGAATCCAGTTTAACCAACTTCAGATTTAAAATGATATCCATTGCTCTAAACCTTCAAGACAGCTTTAGAATATTTTATAAACACTCCGGCTCAAGTCATATCCAGAGCCTTTCCTAGTCAGTTTTCTCACTTTGAATGAGAAAGGAATGGATAATCACAGAAAATAAAAACACCATGGGCAATAATGAACTTATGCCTTCAAAAAATCTCAGTTATAAATAATTTGGGGGCGAAATAGATAAACAACATGGAATAGACATATATTGTTAATCAGTCTATACACTTCACAATCTTACCACAAGGAGTCTACCCAAATCAGGAGAAATTGAGCCAGACAAAAGGACCTCTTCTGACTCTTTCACAAAGAGTATAAATAAATTAGTTAATACCAGTCTGTGATGCACCAGGCCCTGAGTCTAAGCATAGCTTTAGCAGTCACAAATAGCCAAACAACTTCATCTCCAGCTAACACATAGGCATCAAGCAGAGATTATACTTCATTTCCATTTGAAAGACTAGAAAGGCAACCAGCAAAACTCCAGTGGAAACAAAAGGTAGATTCCTCTGAGTCGTGTATACCAGAAATGTTACTGCATTTTAGCCAGAATAATTGCTTAAAATATTCTGTGAATTCTTATGTTGGTAAAGGTGATGAGAAAAGCAGTCTTGCTATTATTGCATATTAGTAACTATTTTTCACTCTCACTTTTTCTGAAAATTAATAGGATGAGTCTATATTTAAATATTTCAAATCCATCACTATTATTGTGAAATAGTTTCATTTTATATTGCACATTAATTATGTGTTAAATATTAAAAACTAAACAAGGCATCACAAGTTTAGATTTTTTTCAAATTGCCTTGTAATCTGCCTTTACAGATTTTTCCTCAAGATCCTAAACCTTCGAAAAGCTGTTTAACTCTTTGAAATGTTCTCCCTGCTGTCTTTGATGTATCATGTATGGTGTAATATATCATTCTACAAAAGCAAACCAAAACTATTACAAACCACTATCTTTAACTCCAAAAGAAAATCCACAATGAACATCCCTGGAAAGGGAATCTTAAATGATAAGCAAGGAGGCCTAGATACCATATTCTCTTCTATCTCTTCTTAAGCTGTGTTGCTTTGGATAGGTCCCCTCACCTATCTGTCCCTTTTCCCCTCATCTACAAATTGCATTTTTTTTTCTTTAGTAGTATACGAGATTTAACCTAGGGCTTCACGCATAGTAGGCAGGCACTGTACCATCAAGCCACATCCCCAGTTCTGTATTACTATGATTTCTATTGGGCTATAAACCTGCTTAAGAACATACCTTTCCCACCAAGAACATGCAGACTTCTAAGTCAGGATGACTACTTTATATTACTACCAAACCTCTATCAATTCATCATATCTCATTTTCTGTTGCCTTTCATTTCTAGGGCACAGGCTTTGATATTTAAATTATTGTCTCGACTGGCAAGAAGCAATCATTTCTGCTGAAAGTGATTGGTTCCACAGAAGCCCTAATAAAAACCTTTCCTTTTGACAAACTTCTTGTCCTATAAATATATCCCATTCCCAAATTATGGAGTCTATATAAAAAATGCCCATTCTCTGGGGAGCAATTGTGTCACCTCTGTAATACACCAAACTCTTTTCCTAGTGTTCTGTGAAAATGGAAGTTAAAACAAAAAAAATAAAAAAAATCAGAGACAGAGAAACTAATAGAGGCAATTCAGTTTCTGTTTAATTAATTCAGGATTATTTCACTTTCATTTTGTCAAGCTAATAATATACATGGTGAAATGTCAGTAAAAATTAAATTATAAACTACAGAAGCTCCAATGGGAAAAGTGACTTTAGATATGTTGTATTTCCAACAAACTTACCCTAGTAAAATATCAGTTGCATTTTATGGTATCTTGCAAGCTTTCTATAATCTACCTGGCATGTATTTACAGAGCAATAGTTAACATGTTGAGATTATATATTAATAAATGAGTTGCAGTTATATTCTTTCCTGAATGTTAAGCACCACGAGCTAAATGCAGAAAACATTCAAGGTCAATGTCCCATTTTAGACCTTTTCAGGCAGCTATAATATTATGATAATCAAGCTTAAAATATTCCTATAGAAAGAGTAAATTAGCCTTTTCACTTGAAA